TGTACTTTATATAAAATCTCAATTAAATATTCAATAAAGATAGAGGCATGGCCTCACCATTAATATTAAAAAAAAACAATTAATAATAAAATATACATTTATAAAACTATACTAAAATATAATAATAAAATTCGTTCTATAACAATACAAACTGGCAAACAAGAATTATTATTACATATAGCCTTATATCATCTGTTTATATTAAATCAGAAATTGAACAAAGTGAAATATATTTATCTTTATTTTAAAAAATTTACTATAATCATATTCTTATTTTTATTTACAACAAATATAACAACTATCTACTCAAAATTATCACCTCTTCACCTCTTAATATTATTTCAAATATTCCATCATTTTCTATAACAATACCTCTAATAGTCTTTATGGATAACACTGTTTAACACAATAAAAGTTTTAAATATCTTCAAAGTATTTTTAATAACACTTAAAAACTTTACAATTTAAATAATATTGAAATCAATCCAACTAAATCTAACCTCCTACATATCTCTTAAAACAAAAATAAACTATATCTTACTATACCAAATATGTATTACAATAATCAAATAATATCTTTATATAAATCTTATAAAACTATATGATATCTTAATATTTATTTTGATGAAAATGGTTTAACTAAACCAACATATAAGATGCTTTAAAACAAAGTTAAAAACTTTTTTGACTTAATTAAATTTAAAAAACTCACACCTAAAACAAATCTCTATTTTTTTCAATATAATATTACACCTATTTTTAGAATATCTTTTACAAATTTTGTCAATTTTGAAAACACAACAACAAAAACTCTTATGTTTACTTTCTATTACAACAAAAAAAATACTTCATCTTGCAAAAAATACATCTAATATTCTTTTCACTAATTTATTATTATTTAAACTTCCAAGTCTTCAATATCTGACTCAAAAAGTAGCAATATTTACAATAGAATACATTTTTTATACTACTCTTCTTCTTAAACATATTAATGTAATCAGAATTATAAATTGGCTAACTAAAATATAGCAACCCTTCTTTCTCTCAAATACTACTACTAGTAATTAACCTTCTCTTAATTATGCGATATTCAAAAGGTCCAAATATAGAAGACATAATTTTATTATATTTATAATAAAAAATTTATAACTTTATTAAAAGTTTTTACAAACATAATGTTAATTCCCAATCTTTAAAAAAATCAAATATGATATTAGAAAAAAAAATAAAAAACTTTATCAAAAGAATAAAATACTTATTAAGCAAACTTAGTTATTAGGACCAAAGTATAATATCTTTAGGATCAAAAATTGAAGTACATTATTAAAATTTGTTCTTTAGTATCAAAAGAAATCTTTGATAAAAAATTTTGTAAAAAAGTCAAATCAATTTTATGTTAAACAAAAAACCTTATTCTTCAAATACTATTTGACTTGCAATAAATATTTTGTAAATTAGTCAAATATTATTATACTTCACTATCAAATATATGCAATTAATTTATAAATTTTTAACAGAAGAACCACCTCAAAAGATTTTATCAATATCTACTTTGCATATATGGCATCAAGTTGTTTCAGAGTTATATTTTTATAAACAAGTTCTTTAAGCAATGAATGAACCTTTATTTGAAATAATAATAGATAAGTTAATGTGAAAACAAATTAAGAACTTAATACTCTGTTACCAATTCTGAAATAATGAAAATCAAACACCTGTTGCAATAATTGCCCAATTACAAAATATTATTAAATATAATGCCAATGTTGTATCAAATAATATAAGCATGCATATTTAAAAAAATTAATTAGATATTACAAAATATAGATTGTGGATAACAAACAATACTTCATATATGTCTAGTAATAGAAAAGAAGCTGTAATTTTTTTTAATAAAAAAATAAAAAGAAACTTATTATAAATTAGCTGTAGTTTTTATATTGTTCAAATTGTTATAAACTATTTTGAACAAAAAGCCTTTAGTATACTTTCAAACAGTACAGAATTTTTACAAAAAACTATACTCTTACAATTTGTTTTATCTTGTATAGAAATTACATAATAGTTATAAATTTAGTAATAAAGACAAATTACTCAATATTAATTTGCAAATAATTAAGAATTTGTATGATAGGCTATTGGAATATCACTATAATCAATATCATTTATCACTTTAATTACAATAAGATTATAAGTTATAAATTGCAAAACAATATCTTAATTGGCATTTAGAATATATTAAATTTATTAGCTAGTTTATTAATAAAATAAAAAACTACAAAACACTAAAATCATATCTAAATGATTGGTATCTTTTTTAGACATAATTTTATGATTCAAAACTAAATATTTAAATTAAATATTTTATAAATTTTGATGAATATTTTATGAATTATTAATTTAATTTTTAATTGAACAAGATAAAGTTTTTAGAATTTATCAAAATAATGAATTAAACATTTTAATTTCTGATTAATGCACTCATGAGATGTCTGATAAAGTTTATAAATAGAATAAATTTCTTCAAAATCTCACTAAAAATTTTAAAATGTTCTTTTCTAATGAACTACTAGAAGCATTAGATATTCTTATTAGTAAAGAATTTGGGAGTTTTTTTGATAATTTAGAAAAAGGAATTATCAAAACTTTAAAACACTTTGAAAAGTGGTTTAAACAATAACTTCATCTGCCTTTGACTATTTGTCATCTTGGAGGTAACTATGCTAAATTATTTGTATCTAATTTTTACTATATTGTTTTAAAGAAACTTTGAATTAAACCACTAAATAATTTGGAATTGTGATTTATAGAAAAATTGAATAATGACTTGAAAAATGGAATAACTAATACATTTGATCTATATGAATTGCTATTACAAAATATCAATGTTTTTAGAGAATTTGAACAATTCTATACTAATAATGAATAACCTATATATAAATTTCCTGAATTATTTAATTTTGTTAAACTAGAATCTATTTTATCATCATTTATCACAGCAAGTGAAGGATCTTTTTAACAAATTAGACCTAAAGACTTACACCAACATGTCATTATCAGTTAAACTGTTTAAACTTTAGTTGTCTTTAGATAAAATTGAAAAAAAATTTATCAAAAGGATTAAAAGACATAAAAGTAAATCAAAAAAAATCTCATTACAAAAAACAATAATATCACAATTTGAACCTGACATTGCCTCAAATATTTTTAATAATTTACTATGCTAGTAGTTAAATAATTTTATAAATAAAATTTATATGATGTAGTTTATTAATTTTAAATTACTCAATAATTAAATATGTATCATATTGCATATTATTCTATAAATTGTGAGAAATGAACATACTGATCGATGTTGTTACACAAATAATCTCAATATTAACTTTTTTATAAGATACCATACATAGTTTTGTTTACATAGTATACCGCACACCCCAATGTCACATGTGTACATTTGATCTACATTAGAACAACCAATTATATTGGAGAATTTGCTAACAGACAGACATTTGTGTAACATGTTTACTCAACAGTTTAGTCCTTCGAACAATAAAATATAAATTCTTGCAAATAATGGCAAACCCATATGTAATAGTTTTGTTATTATGGTCTTACTATAGTTTTATTATGTTGCATAAAATAGTCACGTGATAAGGTGTGCACCACGGTGCAGGTGCACCAAAAAATAAAAATCTTTCTATAAATATCAATTTTTTTAATAAATAAGTTTATATAACTGTTAACAGCAAATTCCTTAACTAATAATTTGTAATATTATCTACCTTAAATCTTTAATATGCATATTCAATAACACCACTTCCAAGGCACCAATTGTCATTCCAAATAGCTACAATCTAAATAAAAATTGTATTTATTAACAATTTAAAATCAGAATGAATTATGTGTTGATTAATTTTCATCACCTGGCCAGGTGCAATCGCTCTTTGTGGTGTTTCAAATTCGACAATATATCTACCATTTGATCTATATAAAATGAATATTAACTTCAAATAATGCATATATAAACACCTGTAATTTCGTCATTTTACCTTGGTATCACATTACAAGGAACTATAAAATAAATATTATCTTAAATAAAATAAAACTTTGGATAAGAAATAAGGCGTTATTACCTGGAAATTGACGGTATCTTATCTGAGCTAGTAGTTTAATATCTAAAAATTTGATATAAATTTAAAAAACTATTAAAGAACAAATATTTTAATTACTTTAGAGACGGTTATAGGGACTGGAATCAGTTTAGTCGACTAAAAAATTTATATAATAAACTACTATGTTTGTCGACGACTAAACATAGTAGTCGACTAAACCGATTCCAATCCCTAGACGGTTAGGTCCAGTCCACTTCGTCTCTGTCCCTAGTAAGATTAGTCCATTAATGGTTTTCAGTTCAGTCTCGCTCCCAAAATGGTCCTAATCTTATTGGCTAACGATGAGAATTAAATCATATGACATCGGTCATAAAATAAGCGATGAAGATCAGTTCGGACTGATCTCAAGATCGGGAACCAAACAACCGTTAAAGACTGGTTCATATTCAGTCTTTCTGAACCGATCCATAACCGACCCGTAACCGACACATCCCATTTAATTGCATATTTTTAATCTTACCATTGATTTTTTCAGGAGGCAAATACCAAGTCCAATTCTTGGCAACAAGGCTTCGTGAAAATAAAAGTGGGTTATTTCTAAAAAAAATTCAAAATTAGTAAATGCCATACATTTCCATTTACATAAAATAAATAATAAAAATCATACGATTCAGGAACAACAATTAAAGTATTATCTTTAGTATTACGACCCTGAACAAACCAACTATAAAACGGCCAATTTTTAATAAAGAATTAAAATTGCAAAATAAGCATAGTAAATAATGCATGCCGATTTGTGTTATAATTTATATGAGCGCATTGGCCAATAGTATATGCAAATAGTCCACAGTGCTGGCCTTATTAGCACAGAAAAAAAAGACAAATTAAAATAAATATATATTTTATAAATCATTTCATAATTTAATTCAAATCTGAACCCAGCCATGCCATATTCATCACGATCTGACTAGATTAGATTTGAGCCAATGAAATCGATTTTTGCAAGTTGTTCTTATAGTCAATAACTTTTTGAAATTTTTGACTAAAAAATATAAGAATATTTCCAAATACATGCATTTCAACCACGCAAACTGCCTATTACACAAAGATCGATTTCATAGATCTGAATTTGATCTAAGGTAAAGAATCCCAATTTTAATCCGACACTGGTTAAAAAAAAAAAATCCTAACTCAGACCAAATACAGGTAATCTATCGAGAACTCTAATATGATATATACAAACCTATAATTTTGCCATCGACAGTTTTGATATCACCAGGTTTTGTTACAAGATATTGTTTCAGGAACTCGGCAAATTTTTTCCTTTTACCTATAAAACAAACACCCATACTTTCTTTTTTATTTGCGGTAATAAGATTTGCATTACTCGCTATTGATTTTACTTGTGTTTTATATAATTTGCCGACTGGAAACATTGCCTTAAAAAAAAAAAAAAACATTAATGAAAATTTTTTTGAAACTTAGAGGAAACATGATATTACCCATTTAAGCCTTTCTTCAGGAACAGTTGACAAGAAATAACTTTGATCTTTAGCGCTATCAATGCCTGGATTTTAAAAAACCGACAGAAAGCTTGCAAGATATATTAATATATTAATAAGGCAGATATTGATAAGCTTAAAAATCTTTAGATACCTCTTAATAGTTTTACTCTTCCGTGAATGTGCTCTACTTGAACATAATGTCCTATCACCTAAAATTAAAACACCATCTCTCACAATTGAAGCTATAAATAGCATATATTACCTGTAGCAAACCACTTTGCATTAAACATAGGTTCCAAGCATTTATCTAAAAATAAACCAAACTTGATTTCACGATTACACATGATATCAGGATTTGGAGTAAACCCATTTTCATAATCTTCTACCATTTTTGTGAATACTTTTACCCAATATTCTTTTGTAAAGTCAACCTTTAAGAAGAAAATCAAGTCAAATAATTTCGTTCCATTTTTTTTTTTCTTTTTTTTTGATAATTACATGTCGACAAGGAATGTCTAGCTGTTTGCAAACTGCTTGCACATCTCTCCAATCCTGATCACTTGTACAAACACCACTTTCATCTGTTGTATCCCAATTTCGCATATAAACACCTTCAACAGAATAACCCTATTATTAAAGTATTTAAATTAGAAATTAAAAGGTTTTGAGTTGAAACTTTTAATTCACAATCCATTAACAATGTTTTACTAAGTGAACCTTTTCAGGCTTTCAATAAACTTGTAGAGAAAATTTTCTGGTTTAGTGGTGTCAAAATTCCAAAACTAGCTACAAGAATCATAACATGTAAACATTTGAGTTTTTGCAAAGATTCAAATTCTTACATTTTCATTTCATTAGGCTGGTTTTGGCGATTTTGACACCAATAGAACCACAAGGAAGAATTATATATGAGTGCTGACCTGACATCGGGCTTTCAATTATATTTTGTGTCGACTCAATCTATTTGATTTATTATTGATTGCATCTGGTACGAGATAAAATTGAAAGTCTAATGACAGGTTTTTCTTTGATGGCACTCATATATTGTATATATCGTGTGGACGTCCGATTCTTGCACTTCTGCACTTTTAACTATAGGATGAGTCAGTAGAAATGTACTAAAATTTTAATTTTCTTTTTAGATAATTCTTCAAGCTTTTGTAATTTTATTAAATTTGGCCAAGTTCTTGTTATTGTTGTTTTAAATTTTCAAAAAAAAGTTACCTTTAAAAAAAAATTTGACGCATTTCTACTGACTCATGGGCTGCGGATCACGAATTAAGATAAACGAGAAAAGTTATATCATGCCTTTTTTTTTAGAAGATATGCCGAAACACTAGAGTCGACCCCTCCAGACATGGCTACCATTACTACATTTAAAATGATTATAATCAGGTGAAATTCATTTTTCTATGTATTTTGAAATGTGATCGTTTTTGCACCTTTATCACCGTATTGCGGACTTATATGATGACTTAAAAAACGACGAGAGAAATTAAACATTGTTTTTTTGTTTGTCTGATTTACTTGCAATGAACGAAAAACAGATCGGATTACGTAAATGATTATCGTTATCGTATAAATCCACCCATCGTTCCTATATAAGTATAGATACATGCATGATTACACAATTTTTACTTAGGCCTGAAACAATTTGGCATACCAGGTTCCCTATTATTACTATTCAAATAATATGTACGTAGAAACTTTTATTTAAGTGTTGTTCCATTACCTAGAAATGCCAATGGCTCTATGACTTTGATTGTTAAGTTGATAATATTTTAACTATTGAGTCTATCAACAATAAATGTTTAAGGAATTTAATTCAGTAATTGTTAAAATGCCATTAATGAATCAAATTCGCACTTTGAGCTAATTGTTTCAAAATTTATATCAGATTTATATCAGATATGCATAAAAAAAATAACAACGGCACGACAAAGTACGTAGTCTGTTCGACTGAAAGTCTATTTTTTCTCCTGAATCGATGCAAATCAGTCAAGTAAATCCCTAACATACATAATTCAGAGAATTACTGTCTCACAAGCATGGTAAGTAAAAGAAAATACAATAAGAAACGGGTTTTTTTATAGAGATCTAGTAATAAGTTTGCTATTGTATTGAAATAGGTTTAGTTGACACAAAATATAAATAAAAGATATAAATAAATCATAATATGCCATGCAAACCAACATTTCAACAGTATTAAAATATAGTAAGCAAAAAAGGTCAACAAAGTAGTTGAATCATATAAATTAGTCGTATAAGGGAGGTAAGCGCACTTAAGAATTGTTTATATAAAAATTTCGAATAGATTACTCATCGAATTACTTATCTGCCAATAAAAAAAATCGACTTTTTTAAAAAATGTTTGAAATATGAACTTTTTACATTTGGGGACGCACATCGGATATATCGTAAGCCGGCAGCGATTTTTCAAATTCGTGTAACGCAGATCATTTCTCCTTTTGGTAAAAGATCTTCAATTGGAAAATTCTTTTTTAATTCTATGGTACAAAATTTGCACCAATCATTGGCTGCGTTGTTATTTGGCACACAACCGCCTTTTAAACCCTCAGGGATCCCCACGGATCCCTAGACTACATATTTATAGAATAACTTTTACAAGAATATTTTAAAGGTTTTTTTAAAACTTATTGTTATTTTTAGATAATAAAAAATGTTTTTTTTTAAATAGAAATCGGTTTTATAATAATCTCTTAGTATATTGCAGATCATTTCTAAATCGTGTAAAATATAATTGTAAGATATTAATAAGTCAGTTGGCTAATGCGACTAAATATTATATAATTGTAAGTAGTAATATATAAGTTTCAAAAACAGATAAATATAAAATATAAGAAAGGTTTTTGTAAGCCAAACTGTTAGTCATTTAGCTAATATTTTGGCTAGTTAACATAGTTAGCTAATTAAAACCATTTAGTTTACAACATTAGTATAGCATAGCATAATATATATAAACATTTTTTTTTTTTTTATATATAATTGATTCATTTTTTTTTATACATTTTCAGTTTTTTTCAGTTTTTTAATTAGCTTGTTTCTGAACTATTTTTTTTTTGAAATATCAAAATAAAAACTTTATTAGATAATAAGAAAAATTATATTAAAGATTTCTAAACTATATTTGTACTATTTATTTTAAAACATCCAATGTGACATTACACTTTCATTTTTATATAACACTATTATTAATTATTTTAAATTAATTTTAAATATAAAAAAAGTTAGAAAAAATCTAAGATAATAGTCTTAGTATTTAGTAGATACAATTAGTAAGTAAATAGTTTAAAAATAATCAGTTTTTAATAAATATCCCTTAATTTGTAAACTTTTCCAGACAAATTTGCCTAGAAAATTGTTAAAAATATGCTTATAATCTATATTTTTTAGATTTTAAAATATTTAAATAAAATTTTATTTAATAATATTTAAAAATAAAGATTATATTATAGTAGTATTAATTTTATATTATAAAAAAAAAAAATTATATGTTACTTATAAGCTAAAAATAAACAAATTTAGAAAAAAATTTTAATTGAAATATTATTTACAAATTTTTGATAAACTTTTTAAATATTAATTTTAAGTCTATAGTTCTTAATACAATATTTTAATTTATATAAAAGATAATAATTTTTATTAGTAACACTTTTGTGAGTTGGAGTCCTATAGCCTAATGGTTTAAGTGCCCTTCCCTTCATAGACAAGATTAATAGTTCACTTTTAGCTGAAAATAAAACTCTGTAATCTACAGAAGCATATAAATGTATATAAAACTCTATGCTAAATTCTATATGAATAAAAAATCAGTATATAAAGAAGTTTCTAGAAAGAAGCTTTTCAATATAGAGAGTTAACACTTGATGTAAGAGAAGTAAGGAACATACCAGAAATGAAGCAAAGGCACACTAACAGGTGATATGGTAAACATAAAAGAAAATTATAAGAAAGAAATGAACTTACTAAAATTTGAATACCTTTAGCATTAATACTAGTTTAGTAGATACAAGATATACTAAAATTGAATAAAATCTAAGAAGTAATCTTAATAATATGCTTAGTAAGTTTGCATTGAGGGTAAATTTAAAAAACTATAGATATTTGGTAATATCCAATAAGGTAGTACCTTAATATAAATAGTAATTAGATAACCTAACCTAATATGTTTATATAGTAATATAAGTATTATATATATGCAATAGGATTGAAAATCAGAAAGTTTAAATAGAAAATTCACAGACAGAACTCAGATATGACAGCTAGTGAATAACTCTTAAGTAGAACCCTTAATTAAATAATGACTAAAGTTATACATATGACTAGTTGTATTTTTGTTAATAAACTTTGTATATAATTATATAACAATATATTACTCAATAAAGATAGACAGTAACTTCATGTAGTTACCACCTAATGACTATGAATAAAGATAGAAGCAAGGCTTTATCTTATTATCAAAAAAAAAAATAAAGATAAACAGACAAGGTTACTGCTTTAGCAAGAAAAAAAAAATTAGTAATACTTTTGCAATTTACTTATAAAAATTTAGACTTGTACAAAGTATAAAAAATTTTTTTAATTTTGAAAACATATAAAATTTTAAAAAAATCTTGAAAAATTTTTAATAGTAAAAATTTTTAAATATAATCTTTAAAATTTTAATATATAAAAGTTTATTAATATTTTAAAAAAAGTTTTATAATAAAGTTTATAAAATATGTTTTTAAGAATATATTTTATAAGCAAAATATATCTTATATTATTAATAAATTATTATTATATTTAAAAAATACTAAATATAATTTAATTTTTCAGGCAAATTTGCTTGAAATATGGTTTAAAAAATAGTAAAATCAATAGTAAATGTATTAGAAATATTAGATATTAATTAATAAAAAGAAACTAAGAAATAAATTTTTAAATGTTTAGATCTGTTAGTTATATTACAAGTTTTTTTTTATTTTTGTTTAAGTATTTGTAAATTTAATATAAATATTTAATTGTTAAACAATATTTGTAATTAAGTTATGAAGAATTTTTTAAAGATTAAATTTTTATTTAAAACAAGAAATAAGATATATTTTTAATTAATTAATAATAAATATAATTTGAAATAGTTAATATATCTGCTTTGTTCTATAATTTTAATCTTTTATCTAATTAGATAATTGCAGCTAATACTAAATATAAAAAAAACATTCTATTATGCCTATAACCTAGAAAATATTAAAAAATATAAGAGAACAAATTAATAATAATATAGACAAAAGATGTAATAAATTTTAAAACAGTTTAATATCAATAATTAATAGTATACTTAATCAATACAAAGATTCTGTTAGATTTGAAAATATCAAAGAACAAAATGACATTATTACTAAACTAATTTTTATCAAACAGTATATTCAACAACACTTTGATAACTGAATAGTTCCTAGAAACATCCAATCATAATTATTTAACACAATGTAGCAATAAGAATATAAACTTAAACCTAATATTGATTCTATATAGTATCAAACAGTATTTAATAAATTTTTTTCAATAGAAGTTTTTGAAGTTATTAGCTAACTTCTTAATAACAAAATATGTAGACCATCAGGCATTAGCTATAAATACTTAAACATACTAGAACACTATTTTTTGATACAATTACAGCTTTTTTTAACTGTTGTTTTATATCTGAACAAATTTCAAACTAATAAAAAAAAGGAAGAATTTTTTCTATTTTCAAAAAGCCTATTTTTGATAACAATCTAACTAATATCAGATCTATTAGTTTGTTTGAACTTGTTAAAAAACTTTATACCAAACTCCTTACTAACTGACTGAACTACATCTTTACTCATTATAAAATTTTATTATCTTTTAATTATATAATTCTACTTGGCAATAGTATAGCTATTCCTATATACATTCTTAACAATGTTATTAAAGAAGCTTTTGTAATTCTAAACAGCTTTGATTTCTATCTCAAGATATGAGCAAAACTTATAACTCTGTAGATCTAACACTTTTTACCAAATACTTATTATGTCTATACATGCCACCTAATCTTATCAACATTTTTACCAACTTGTTTACTAATTGACATAACTGAGTAATTACAAATTTAGGTCTTACTAACTCATACAATATTAAAAATGGCATTAATCAAGAAAAAACTATAACTTTCTTATTTTGAAAAATCTATTATGATTCTCTAATTAACAAAATAGTTTTAAACTTTTCAAGATACATTTTGGCTACAAAGTGGAACACTAGTTTGCTTTAACCAAGGTCTCAACAACTTCAAACCTCAGTATTTGTATTAGTATATATAGATAATACACTTTGGATAGCTAAATCTAAAGAAGAATTATAAATAATTATTGTTACAGTCACTTTCTTTTACTATATAATCAATATATAAATTAATTCAACTAAATCAATTCTTATCTCAAACATCTTATTTATAGCTTTTATTTACTTTTTTAATT